CTACCCATCTGATGTCTGAGGGAGACCTGAGCAGAATCTTGTCTTGGAAATGCAGAGCTCTTCTTTAATAGAGTGTCAATCTGTGCAAAATTAGAAAATCTGGCCCAAGCTGCTAAATGACAGCCATTGAATTGGCCCAGCTGTAGTTTTCTATGGACCTGAGTTCAGTGCACTCTGAGACATCCAGAAGCCTGCAAACAAGCAATATCTCTTCCCATTTCTCTCTCTCTGCAAAAAAATACAAAGCTTGAAGACAGTTAAAAAGAAACTTATCATGCAAGAAAAGACACAGGTCCATCAATCAGCTACTGACTTGAAGATTAACCATCACTCTGCAGACAACATCATGGCACCATCACAAAAGAAATCCAAAGAGCTGTGAGAAGTAACTTATCCTCATGTCTGGATTTTGATCTATAGAGTTTATGTCGGTATTATTCCACCCATCATATTTGTGTCAATTGTTTGTCTTATTCATGCATGACTGTGTTTGGGGATTTTAAAGGGGGTTTAAGGGCATTTGCATTAACTCAGTCAGCATGCAGAATGGCTGTCTGTCGGGCCCCATTACTTTCTTTACTATATTGATAGAGATTTGTAATGGTATGGAGTCTTTGAATTCCATGAGAAGAATTACTTCTAAGATTTTCATAAATTGAATGCCCACTGCTCAAAAATAAGCTGCTTAAGATATTCAAATTCCTTGTTTCCTTCTTAAGCAGCCCCTTGAGCCAAAGGCTTTCACTCTGGAGTGTGGGTCCGAAGGTGACTAAGCAGCCTGGATGCTGGGTCTGCAAACCCTGCCACAGGTGTGGGGCATGTGGTGGCTGCTGAAGTGGGTGAATGGGATGCTCAGGTTTTCACACACTCCTTCTGCTGTTTGCACTTAGCCTTCACTTTGAACCTGTTAGAGATGCTTATAATGTGTGGCATTTTATTGTGAATGCTGCTTCCCCAGTTTGGTTCATCTTGGGGTATAGATTCCTATGAGTTGGTTGGGATATATTTCTTTTCAGGGAGGCATTTGACATCCTTGAAGAGTTTTCTCTGACCTCCTGTCAACTGCTTGCTTTAATTAAGCGTTAATGAAGGGAGAGAGCTTGTGGAATCTTGTGTCAGGCTTGTGGACCGTGTGCAACTGATTGTCCATAACCAGAGCCCTGATGCTGTGAATGTTGGCCTGAGAGAGGACATTGATATTGGAGTGAGTATCCTGCCAATGGATTTGCAGTATTTTGCAGAGGTATCGTTGGTGATACTTCTCAAGTGATTCAAGGTCCCTTCTTTGCACAGAAAGGTGGGTATCACTGCTGCCTTGTAGACCATAAGCTTGATGGCATCCAAGTTCCAGGTATAGTCAGTCAGGCTGTTTCCTGAATGTCTGGACTTCCTATCAGTACAGCTTTGTAACTGGCTGGTACACCCTTTTGTTGCCTCATGGCTGGTTAAAGTTGCCTCAGGAGGGAAAAAGTAAATTTTGAGAGTTTTTCCTTTTAGCTTATTCTGTTGGACTGGCTACTTTAACTACTATGCTGACTGTTGTTTGAAAGAGGTAAAGAAGACATTCATCTCCTCTTCAGACTTGCGGATTAAATGGGCGAACTTCAATACTTCGGCCCTTAAATCTGATGTTCCCTCAACAATGCCTCCTTCAGTGGGCATATTGGGATTCTCCCCTTCAGCTTGAGCTGCTTCAATTTAAACTCCATTTCACTTACCCTTTCCTAGACGTCTGTACTCTTTTCGACATTCTTAGCTACCTCTTTCCTTTCTGTGTATTGGAATTTCAGTTCTAATCTCTGCTGTTGTAATGTTTGTCTGTTTCTGTTTCCCTGGTTTTTGGGCAGAATTCCACCTCCATGTGTCAAACTACACCTTTTAATTCTTATAAGGACACTGTCTTAACTTCTCAGATCTTATCCCAACTTGTTCAATGAAAGTATTGATGTCAAATATTAGTACTAAAGATCCAAGAGAACCTTTTGTATTTGTCTAATAGCTACTGAAGGAACACTTTACTTTCCCCATTCCAATTCTATTCTTGATCTATGGGAATTCTCCCAGACTCCAAGCAATTTAGTACCTGGTCATCCTGAGAAAAATGATAAGAACATAGGAAATAGAATTGAGACTTTCCTTTGGTCTCTGTGGCAAGGAATATCAAAGATTCACAACTTTTGAGAGAAGATATTCCTCCTCATTTCCGTCTTAAATCGACACCCCTTAATTCTGGTCAAAGACTCCCCCATGAGAGGAAACATACTGTCAACATTTACCATGTCCTTAAGATTTCTATGTTTCAATGAGATCAGCCCTCATTCTTCTAATTTCCAATGAGTAGAGTCCCAATCTGTTTAGCCTTTGTTCATAAGATAGTCTGTCTGTACCAAGGATCATCCTAGTGAACTTTCTCTGAGCTGTTTCCAATGAAATAATATATTTTCTTAAATAAGGGGATTACAGCTGCTCGCAGTATTGCAGATGTGGTCTCATCAGCACCTTGTACAGCTGCAGTAAGACTTCCCTACTCTTCTACTCCAACAACCTTAAAGTAAGGGATCATTCCACGAGCCTTTCAGATTCCCTGTTGCACCTCCTGTGCTTGCTTTGTGTTTCGTGCACAGGTGCCTTTAAGTCCCTTTTGTGTTGCAGCTTTCTGCAGATTTTTTTCTGTGTTCGAATAATACTGTTCTTTTGTTCTCCCTTCCAAACTGAACATCTTCCCACATTATACACTATTTGCCAATTTTTTGCCCACTTCCTTCACTTAGCAATGAAAGATGTGATGTCAAGTGAGTGGTTGCACTGCAAAGTTGAGAGGAATTAGTATCTCGCATAAAGGACAGTAAAAGAAGGTGGAATTTTGAATCCTGTGTGTACCTTTGAAGTTTAAGATTTAATCTGGAGGTCAAGCTGGATTTACTGGTTCTTGAGTGCAGTCAACAATAGCACATGTAATTATTTAATAGTTTTCAGCTGTCCGTTGCTGTCTCTCTGTGATTGTTCCTTTGGGAACTGAGTCAGAATCTTCACAAAAGAGAAGGTGAAGTAGAGATCGCAGCTTTGCATTTACTAATTTCCAGAAACTCATGGAACCACTCTTGAAATGCTAATTCAAGTATGTATTTCCAAGACTGATTTTCAATATTAATCTATCTATAACAGCTATGGTCAAATGTCTGGTACTTTGAATTTGTCAATGTCTTCCTACAATTGTAATAATTTATGATGGCTTGACTCCATCCCACTACTCCCCAGCATCATTTTTTTATTCTGTCCTTCAATTTGGAATGTTGAGAATTTCAGCCATTTTGCCTTGTCTCAATTCAATTTCTAACAGTTCCGGTAGGTTGAAATTCATCTTCAAAATATAGGTATATTGTGACATCTGTCTTATTGAAATATGTTTCAATTAAAATAAATCTCTTTGAAACCTTTTTATTGTGGAAGAAAGCTTGTTGAAAAGCCCAATGAGAATGTAATAGTGAATGGCTCCTGGTACTGAGAAATTTGTTAAATTTGTAAACCCAAATAACCTTGTCTGAATTCTGACTGTTGGATTAAGGAAATTGTTTTGTGATGCTGATTTTATTTAATCTTCCTATCTGCATTCTGTGCTCTTCTTCCTACCTTTTCTGAAAACCGAACCAAAGTCTTCATTTAGTATCTCTGACTGGTTTGTCCACCAAATCAAGTCTTTTGTAGAAAGGACACTCAAGTTGTTCCTGTGTAAAACACTGAGCATTACCAAAGAAAATTATAACTGTGAGCATTTTCTCCTTGAAATGTCATGCTGCCACATTTTAAGCTTGTACGAAGTTGAGTTCTTTCCCTGCTTAATACCGGAATGTTGGCATTGCAAGTGATTCGTTTTGGGAGTATAGTATTTGCTGGAATTTGCTAAGTGGATCTTGTGACCCCAAGTGTAACACAATTAGTAATGCTGGTGTGACAACGGATAACCTTTGTAAGACATTGAATTCATTACACACAAGTCAATACTCGTTAGTAAGGTCATTGATCTAAGTCAGAATTCATTTGTCTATTTTTATCAGTTCTTTCACACTGATTTCACCAGTTTATAGTCAGTGTCATTTCTAGTTATATTGGTATAAGTGGTAAGTTCTACTTACAACGTCCACGTATAATTATTCGGTCTTGAATTGCATTGGAGAAACCTCCAGTTCTGTATCATCATAATTATTTAATTTTTAGTTTGTTGTATTGAATAATTAGGAGTAAACTGCACTGTAATAATTTGAAGCACTTTGCCTTAACCACAGTTTCTCTGTCAAGTTCTTTACTTCCAGTTGTTATTCCCACAGTTCTTTGATCATTTTTTAAACACTACATTCGGTGAGTTATAATTACCATAGCAAATGTCAGTTTACAGCTTTTCAGTGTGGAGAATCACTAGAGTAATCCTTTTTTTTTGGTTCTCTATGTTTAATGGAATGACACGTTTTGGAACAATGTCTTCTACATGTTGAATCTTTTTATTTTGTCTGTAACTCAGGGTAGTCTGTGCTTGTTTTGTGCTTATGAGAAAATTAATTACCAACTTGTTCTACTTCCTTTCTAAAGCAGACTTTTACCACACTCTTGGTACAATTACTGCCTTTCACTGCCCATTGTAATGAGTACAGTGACACTAAGTACACAACTACATGTGGCTGAGGGTTTTCGCTTCACAAAGCTTTTAACTGATTATATGACAGTCTCCTGGTTGCATCTGTCGTTATCTTCAATCATCTATGAAGATTGCTGTCTGCAAATCTAATGAGGTGAATGTGGATGTTATGGCCAGCCATTGTCATGGGGGTCAAGGCAAGGTTCAGAATAATGCTTCAGAGAGGCTGGGTCCTTATTTCTTTGAATTGTTCTAATTTGCAAACATGAAATAGAGAATTGAGGGAATTTTTATAAAGATGATATAATGTGCATCAGATTTACACAGTATTTAATATCCTGCTAACTTGAACTCTCCTATTTTCTCTTAGTACTCGAACAGCATGAGAGCCAAATACCTCGCCACAAACAGGCCTGAAACCAACAGCATCCACTAAGACTTGAGGAGAAAAGGAAAAAACTGGAACTTCTGCATGTCCAATGCCACTAATACAGTTATACTAACTTAATGAGAACAGCACTATTCTATCAGTTGTACAGCAAAAGTAGATTAGTGGTTACTAAGAATGAATAATTTTGCCAAACTAAATTATGGTAAGACTGCATGGGAGATGTGTACCATCAGATTTGTAGATGCTGCACAACCTTATCAGTCCCAATATTACATTTTACATCATTCCAGTTTGCTTCAATTTAAAGTGTTCTCACTTCTACATTGCAACAGGGATGCCAGGATATGTAGGTGCACCAGTCTATCACCATGAACAAAACCACAATAAAATGTGTCAGGTTGTTTTCACATTGTAATAATTGTAAAGTGCACCAAATTGCTGTAGATCAATAAACTATAATTCAGAACAAGGCAATGTTTGTATTTATCTGGATGAGTTCACAAGAGGGTATGCCAACGTATTATCCAGGGGCAGTGATGATACTAATCGTTTGTGTTTGCCAAAAGCGCAAAGTATTGTGGCATCCCTAAGATTTTGAGAAACAGAGAAATGTGGAGAGACATTACAGAATTCATGGTGAAGCCTGTGGTCTTTTAAGTTTGATGTGGTTGTAACATTACTTTTAACCACTTTTAAGTTGAATATAAAGGGGGTGATACCTGTGAAGAGAGTATATATTGCCACAGAAATTTGTGTAAAATATTGGGAAAATGCACTAAATCACCTCTGAAAGCCAGCAAATGTAGGTCACTGATCAATGATCAATGATCAATAACCAACATGGTTAATCCAGTTTTTGTTATCATTGAAAATGCATGTCTTCTGGAATAGAAACTGCTTCTAAATCTTTGGAAAAAATCACATCAGAAAATTTTCAGTCCTGGCGAGTACATGTTTTCAGTATTTCTTGATGAGTATTTTAATCTGTTGCACATAAGATCCTTCCAGTACTTTTTTTTTTCTATTTTGATTTTTTTTTTAATTGTATTGCAGTAGACACAATACCTGTAGTTTAGCTACCATTTTGTTATAGTTGTATTTAAGGTGCAATTTCGTGTGCTTTTCGTGCGCACAGGCATTTTTATATATCAGTTTATCTGATTTTAATTGGCTCAAAGTTGTACATTGCTGGAAACATATCAATGCATCTAACCACATGAGGATGAAGTACCCTTGCAGATTATAGAATTGCTGCATTTTCCTCAAAGTCTCAGTTGTGTGGAATATTACAAAGTTTCACTAGTACTGTATGATAACAAGAATGGAATTATTTACTTTTACTGGATAAATTATCGCCTTTAAAACTTTTTCCCCCTTAGTTATTGCAGTCTTGGGGGAAAAAGAGCAACCACAAGCCTGAATCGTGACAATCCACCGTTCAGTGATTCTGCTGATGTTTAACTATGGTGCTGTTTAACAATCTAATCAGCTGCTTAGAGAACACAGTGTGACAGTTCTGTCATTCATATTCAGAATGAAACATTCCAACTTTGACTTTAGATGATTTTATGTAGTGCGTGCCAATAGGATATTTGAAATTAAAATGCTCAAATTTTAGATAAGAACTCCAACTTCTGGAAGGTTCTTTCAGAAAAATAAATCACTTTCTACTTCAATGTTCTCGACAGCTGAGCAATAACATGTCACAGATTCCACTTAAACCTGAATGAAACATTCCAAATATCTAACCCCTCAACTAGGTTCATGTTTAGTATGTTATTGTGCAAAGTATTCAAAATGAGAATTAATATTATGTTACCTACAGCTGCAAGAAGATTTGGCTTTTCTCCTAACATCTCGATATTAAATCTAAACAGTAATCTATACTTGGAGACTGTAGTGCTGCTGTTAGCTTTCCAGAATCTCGTAGATTCAATTCTGAGGGGAAAAGAACAAATTAGGAACACTTGCTGTGTTGGCTAGAATGAATAACATGAATGCTGATATTTAAAAATTTTTTTTGGGAAGAATTGTTCCTATAACTTGCAAAAATTAAACCATGTTTAACCATTTGATGCCCAGTTCTGTTACTTGTTTTTTGTTTGCAGTCTCAATCATGCTAACCATAGAGAAGCATTTCTATTGTAGATTTGACACTTTTAGTGATTTGTTCTCCACCAAAGTGAAATCTGGAATTGAAATTCATGAAACAAATTGTCCAAGTTATTGAAGTACAAACATTAGTTTTCACTGCTGTACAATCTCATGTTTTACATCTTTTTCTGCTTTGGTTTCCACAGCTTTCCCTTCAGTTCTATGATGAGGCATCGTTTTGCCCAGCTACCACCAACCATTGTAGTTCTAAATAGGTCTCTATCTTGTAGTCTGATTCAGCTTTGCTGAAACTGAATAGTTATGCACAAACATTTGCCATTACACTGACACTTGTCCTGAATTAGAGTGGCACACCCTCAAATTGTGCTTCAAAAAGTAAACTGAGCCACATCCTGCAGCAGCAAGATATAGTTCTTCACTATGAAAGCGACGTCTAAATTTCACTACAGATAAAAACAAAACTCACGTGAAATATACTAGGTGTACATTACTTGGAAGTTGGAGAAGGGAAGTATGAAGAATGAGCTTGAGTTCAGTGTAATACTGTGTTGCTGATGGGATTTATAAAATAATTTTTTTGTTTTGGAAATTTTATCTGTTGAGCGACAAACTGGACGGGTTCTCCACTTCATTCAGCTGTCGCTGAGCCTGACTTGTTCTCTGCAGGATAATCAAGAGAAGATTGGTGTATTCACTTGCAAGTATGCACTTGTTCTTGTCCATTTTCAGAAGCACAATCTCGCTTTAATTCCGTGACACGCAGGTTTCCACAGTTTATCTTTTTACACCTTGGAAAGCACATACCAACCATGCAACCTTGAAAATGTGAATGCTGGAGACACTAGGGTGTAAAAATTGACCATCAACCTGGATCTTGTGGTGATTGTAAGATATTTGCTGTGAATTTCCTAAACATTGCAGGTTTAAACTTGTAGTGCCATACTCTTTATGTAGTACTTAATGTATATTCTTGCTAGCATGGGGACTCGAGTACTGATCGATGTTTGAATTTTTGACCAGCATTTCATTTTGCCAAATTCAATTTCAAATGAACAAGTTAATTTGTGACCAGGGCTAATTGAAATTTTGAATAGAATTCATAAGACTTGTGGCTGTTTGCCCTGCATTGAAATATATTTTCTCACCAACTAACTGTTCAAAAGGTGAGTGTAAAATAATAGGTTTGCCAATAAAAGGATCTCTTTTCAAAAGGCCTTAAGGTTAACTGCTGATAGGAGATTGGAATTGGTGTAGCCAAAGAAGGCTTGGGCTATTTGATATAGTCTTTGTTTTTATGAGGTTGCAGAGTGACATGATGTGCCTTTTTATTGGGTGGTGTTTTGTTCACTAGCTACATTGAATGTGAGACCTGCATTACAGCAATGATGGAATTGAAGCATTTAGTACAAAGTGATGATTGCACAGAACTGATTTATTGAGTATTGATTTTTAAGTTTAATCCCAGATTTATCCCAGATGCAGCCACAGTTCAGCCTTGTTCCAATTTCCCTGCTTTTCCCCTGCCCAGCGATAATCATCTTGTTTACACTAAACTTCCTTTTTAAAACAGGTATTTTTTGTTTAAATCAAGATTTAGATTAATTTTGTTCCAAAAAAATTATCTGGAACTTGCTTTCAAATATTGGTGAATTACATCTGAAATGATTGGAAAACGCTGGTGGGTGAAACTTAACAATTTGAGTCCTGTATAATCTGTTTAGTTACATTGTGAATCAGAGTTACTCTGTCGTATTAGTGTGACAATCCTTAAACGTTTTAATAGAAATTTTATCATTTGTAGAAAGGCATATCCATGAATGAATATCTCTTGCACGAACAATGGGCATTGATTGGTGAAATGTAATTTGCCTCTTAATGCAATTTTTTAATCATTTCAAACTATTTGTTGTGTAACATACGGCTTCAATTTTTACTTAATACGTGACTTAAAACCAGTAATTGTAGTATTTAGTACTAGTGTAGTTTTGTGGAGCCTGTTTTTAAAACAGCATTTTCATTTGATTAAGAAAAATGATTGAATGATCCTGTGTACTATTGCTCTTTTTATTATTTTTGCTAAAAGTTGCTCCAGCTCTTAATAGATTTATAACATTTTAAAAAAGATCTTTTTTTCCCAATGAGTAAAATGTTGTAAATGTCAAACCTGTGGTTTTCATGAGCTTGACCTCAATGTTTTCAAAATTAAAACTAATAAAGTTTGTTGGACTTGCCAGTTTTACTTGGGTCATTTATATTGGTTCGAATACAGATATAACTTTGCTGAAATGATTATATTTGGGCAAATGTTCTTCTGGAAATACTTGTATTCTGATATTTTTGGTCAGACTGGGGTGCAATCTGGCTTAAGTTGTCTTCAAAAGCATTTCCTGAGAGCTCCATTACTCAGCAGGACAAGCTGTAATAGGACACCATCAGCTTTGTGATTCCCTAACTCTCACTGCCTCCACTTTGAGCGTGGAAGAATGGCAGGTGTCTAAATTGTGGACTACCATGGTTAAAAATACTGTGGGCTTCCTTTACTGCATGGACTGAAGCTGGTCATTTAAACGCATCACTTCAACTAAGTAAGGGCAGCAAATATACGCCCTTCCAGTGCTGTCAGATTGAAAAAAAGTATCTGGGTACATGTCATTCTCATTTGCTCCATTGGAGGAAAATTCTGCCCAGACACCAATTTACCCCATTAATCTCTGCACAGGTATGAATTGAGTTAAACTGACTAGGCTTCAACTATGAGAAGCAGTAGTATGTTACAAATCACATCTTTCAACTTTAGCACTGAAATTAATATTAGAAGCACAGCATGCAAAGCTCTAAATGGTGAAGAGTATGGGAGTAAAATGAAGAAAACAGGCACCAGGTAATGATACTCATTCTGAAGCAGCATGATGGCTGAATGGCCTTATCCTGTGTTGTAGCAATTCTGAGAGTGATTTCCTAGTGTCTTGTTCTTCAGGCTTTTTTGTTATTTATTCACTCGTGGAATGCAGATGTTGCTGGCTGGGCCAACGTTTATTTATTGTCCCTAGCTGCCTCCAAGAAGGTGGTGGTTATCTGCCTTCTTGAACTACTGCAGTTCACATGCTGTAGATCATCCCAGGATGTTGTTAGAGAGGGAATTCCAAGATTTGGACCCAGTGACAATGAAGGAATGGCAATATATTTCCAATTCAGGATGGCGAGTAGCCTGGAAGGGAACTTGGAGGGGTGGTGTCCCAATATATTTACTGCCTTTGTCCTTCTAGATGGAAGTGCTCATATTTTCACTTTTAAATATTTATCCAGTTCCTCTTTTTAAAAATGTTATTGAATTTGGTCTCACCATCCCTTTCA